CCCTCAGTCCCCTTCTCCTGAGAGCACTTGCTCAGCAAACCAAACGCACCTAAATCCCTATGTCAGCCGGCAGCGGCAGGGGGGAACAGTGGCAGGAAGGTTATGAGAGATAATAGGGGAGGGTCCGGGCAGGGGTCCCGTTAGCGGCCCCACGGTGCGGGGTCAGTCTACAGCCATAACCGCTACACCCGACTGCGTGTTTAAGAAAGTCAAATGCGGGGCGCCTGGGTGGCTCAGTCGGTTAAGCGTCCGACTTCAGCTCGGGTCACCATCTCGCGGTCCGTGGGTTCGAGCCCCGCGTCAGGCTCTGGGCTGATGGCTCAGAGCCTGGAGCCTGCTTCCGATTCTGTGTCTCCCTCTCTCTCTCTGCCCCTCCCCCGTTCATGCTCTGTCTCTCTCTGTCCCAAAAATAAGTAAACATTAAAAAAATAAAAAATAAAAAAAAAAAAAGAAAGTCAAATGCTTTGTGCTCGAGGCCCAGCTCTGACACCGTTCTGATCTGAGCCGGGAGGGGTGGAATTACAGGCCCAAATCAATGACACTCAACCCACATCCAGCTACTGGGGAGACACCAAGGTGACAGAAGGCAGGAGGTGGGAGCCGGGATTCAGTAATTTCACCCCGGGGCATTTCCCAGTACACATTTAGGCCGCAGGCACCCCACAAATGCCAATCTCGGCCTCCTCTACTGCAGCGGTCCCCCAAGTATGGTCTGGGAGTGTCTGGTGTGCCCCAAGACCATCTCAGGTGGCCCACAAGGTCAAAATATTTTCCCAACGATAGCAGGCTGAATAATAGGCCCCCAATAATGGTACCACTTGTTGGCCAAAGAAACTTTGCAGATGGGATCAATTTACAGATCTTGGGGGGAGATTGTCCTGGATCAGGATACAACCACAAGAGTCCTTATGGGAGAGGGACAGAGGGAGACGTGGCTGTAGCAGAGGAGAGAGTGACACGACGTGGCAGCACACTGGGAAGAGATGCTTTGAGGATGAAGGAAGGGACCACAAGCCAAGCCGTGCAGGCAGCCACCCAGAGCCGAAAGAGGCAAGAAATGGGTTCTCCTCTGCAAAAGACCAGCCCCACCAGCACCCCGATTTTAGCTTCGGGAGACTCATCTCAGCTTCTGACCGCCAGAACTATAGGATAATAAACGGTGTTTTCAGCCGCTAAATTGTGGTCATTAGTCACAGCGGTAACAGGGGACCACGCATGTGTCTTTTTCACACATTCTCTCCCATGTGTGCGGGGAATCTTCTAGAGGCTACACGACGCGTGGCATCACAGTGGAATGAACGCAGAAGCAGATACGAGAAGTCGGACGCCTTCTGTGGGGACGGACATTAAAGAGGTCTGCAAAAATGAAAACTGGGCCAGCCACCCTTCTCACTAAATTTTCAGCTTTGGAAAACATACTTACTTTGCATTATAATGGGTTACTTACGTTAACATATAATGGGCTTATTACTGATCTTTTCAATAGATGCTTAAAAACGTATTTTAAGCTTATCTCCGTTTTAAATCCAAATACAGGCTCTACTGAAAGCTACACCCTACACAGACAACAGCTCTTAGCTGTTAAGCGTGCTGTGATAATAAAAATGTCTGGGAACAGGTCTCCTGAAAGCCGAGGGGGCAGAGGAAGGGGTGGACCTGAGTCCCCCTGGGGTACACACTGTAGCCTGGGGGTAAACATCACAGATGATCAAGAAAGTGAGAGAGATGGCCATTGAGAGAGGCTGGGGGCTGGGATCGTCCCAGGAACTCAGATTCCCATAACCAGACAGAAGGGGAAATTGTGCAATGCTTACCAACAGCGTCCTATGTTTCACTTTCTATTTCTCCAGTACTTGGTATTCTCTGTGCAGTTTCTGAGCTCACAGCACAGAGGGGATAAATAGGAAGTAGGCGAGAAAGAAAACAGAAACTAGGCGGCGTGATAAGAAATGAAAACAAGCGGCAGAGTGAGTTTCCTTCCATTTGCTACAAAAAAAAAAAAAACACAAACAAGCAAAGGAAAGGTGAGGAGTGAATCCCAGCACTTACCCCCACGGATGTAACTGCAGGAGAATCTGGATGGCCTCATCATACTTTCTGATGGCCAGAGAGAAGTTTCCGTTCTTAAGAACTTGGTTGCCAGACTCTTTCAACAGCTCAGCGTAAGCCGTGGGGTCCATCCTGGGAGCAGAGAGACGGGGTGGGGGGAAAGGCTGGCGGCCCAGCCGCTCTCCCTTCACGTCTGCATTGCTGACTGTGTGGAGAGGCACTCGGTTCATTCTGGCCCCACCCACCTGCCGAGCACATCCTGACAACACCCCTCACCACCAGGGGACCACACGGGGCTCCTGAGGAGAGCGTTTCTTCCCCAGTTCTTTTCTGACCTCAGTGGCAGCAGCCGGGGGGGGGGGGGGGGGGGGGGGCCAAAACTTGCGGGGGGGGCGGGGGAGGCGGCGCGGGGGGCCGCCCCAAAACGGCCAGGTT